AGGAAGAAAGCACTGCAGTGGGCTGAAGGCCAGGAAAGGGGGCGAGAGGGCAAACCTAGAACATTCCTACAGCAGATAGTTTTATGAGGGAGAAAATGTATGAACTACAGAGTGAGAAATGATCTTAAAAAGGAAAGGGGGGCATGTTTAGAAATTTATCAATTAACCCTGTGACTCCTATTTTAAAGCTATTCGCACATAATACCAGAACAGCTGATCTCTGCATGCTCCAGAGAAAGATGTCCTGAAAATTTTCAGAGCCTTAAATAATGGAGTTGATTAAAAATAGGTCACCCAAATCAATCTGTGTTCTATTTTTAATATAAATTCTTCTATTGATTTTTAAAATGCGTAGCCCATTAAAACACATTAATCGTGACCCTAAAAATGTGTTTGTGTTGAAAAAAAAAAACCAAGGTGAAGAAGATAAAAACAACTTCCCACCACATGAAGGTAGAGCAGAAATATCACTAGAGCCTTAGTCCTATTTTCCTGGGGTGGGGGAGAAACATTAAACCACTTCTGGGTAAAGCTGGAGAGGTGAGGGGCCATGATGATAAAGCACGGCCCAGTTGCATAGAGACGGGTTTAGAATGTCTGGAGCTTCGCATGTCTCACTGGGGAGTGCGGGAATCTAATTTTGTAGAACTCAGGGGGGAAAAACATATGATTGTCTATCTGTGTTCTTTAGTCCATGAATAACACAGTCTCATATTTGTATAACAGGAACCCATTATAGAAAATGTGGCCCAAAAAAACCCTATTATTAAAAATGTTCCATTACTCCATCATTGATCTGATATCCTGGAAATATTTTCATAAATGCATTCTCAAGTTGTGAAAACATACACATTTTTCAAAAACTTCTTATAGTTATATGTAGAGGGTGTATACACATGAATGCAGGGACACACAGGAGCCAGAAAATGCACTTTCTAAAGGTGGAGTTACTAGTGCTCGTGAGCAGCCTAACAAAGGTGCCAGGGAGAAAACTTGGATCTCTGAAAGAGCTGGGCATGGTTTTAACTGCTGAGCCATCTCTCCAGCCCCTTACAGACATCTTTAAAGTACAGACATATAATGTATATGTTTAGAATTCCATTTAAGACTTAAATGCCCTATTCATTTTAGAAGCCAATGGATGAAGTTCTTCAAAACTTAATGAAACATATATGGTATGTTTCCATCTTGCTCAACACCCTCAGAATGCTGAATGTAGTGGTTAGGTCTTTGTAAATAGCCCCAGGCCAAATTCCTGCCAACGTGTTTTTTTTTTTTTTTAAATTTGCTTAGATTTCAAAATGTAGATCCATGGCATCAAAGCATAAACATGTTTTGAAAGCCCTTGCTACATCATGGCACACTGCCCTCTGGAAACACTGCATAAACAGAAGCTCTCCTGAAGGGTCAGCAATGTGCCCTCACTCCCACTCTAAGATCTGTTACTACAGTTTAATTATGCTAATTTCGTAGGCTTTATGCCGCTGCTCCTTTCTGACTTTCGTAAGTTAGCATAAAAGGAATGGACTTCACTGTGGCGTCTTCACACACACATTATACCCTACTCTTACTCCTTCCTAATTAATTTTGAGATAGAACAGTGATTATTGCACTTTACCCTTGTTGACAATTGCTGACCTTTGTCCTTTTCCCCCAAAGGGTTTCCTACTCCTTTCTAAATGCTCTGTTATTAGCCCTCTGTCAGATTTAACCTAACTGCTTTTTCCATTTTGTTCTTGGACAAGTATATTTGTCTTAAGTTAGGCATTTTTGTCATAAAGCAATGTTTCATTTCAGGGACTGAGAGGTGACTCAGTGGTTAGGAGAGCTTGATGCTGTAAGGACCTGACTTTGCAACTCCATTTTAAAGAAGGGGCTTCTTCTTAAGCCATATAATGGGGGGGGGCCATCTCAACTCCAGAAATGTGCTGCGATAGCGGAATTTGAACAGATACCCCGAAAATGGCCAATTAAGGACTAGGAAGCGGGGCTATAAAATTTAATGAGATCCAGATGTTCCTAGAAGGCATCCTGTCCTTGAAGACACCTTGTCAGTTATTAATGGCTCTTTGTTAGGGTTTTTGTGCCCAAAAACTGACCAATGGCTTCAGAAACCTTACCCTATGCCCTCCTTACCCAGTTGTCAGGACATGAACTCCCCTGATTACAGCATTTCCCCTTTGAAAGTTCTCCCTTTCCCTGGGCTCGGGGCCTCACTTCCCTCAGCCACTGTGTGGGCATGCTGGTGTAGTCCAAACTCTAGTTTGAATATTAAAAACCCTCTTGTGCTTTACATCAGAATCCAGTTCCGCGATGTTTCTTTATTGGGGATCAGTAACTTGGGCTTAACAATGCTCTATCATGAGGGCCAGAGTATGGATCCATGTCAAGCTGCTCAAAAAAAATCTGTAATTCCAGCTCTAGGGGATCCTATGTGACTTCTGGCCTCAGTGACCACATATGCACATGCGTGCCTCTCTCTCTCTCTCTCTCTCTCTCTCTCTCTCTCTCTCTCTCTCTCTGGGTGTGTGTGTGTGTGAGAGAGAGAGAGAGAGAGAGAGAGAGAGAGAGAGAGAGAGAGAACACACGTGCGCGCATACACACACACACACACACTCTAAACCCTTTTCCTTTTAAAAGTTTCTTTTCTCTATTTTTATATTTTTTTCTTGTCTGTCTTTAGATTAATTTGGTGGGAGGGGCGGTTTCGAGGCAAAGTTTCTCTGTGTAACAGTCCTGGCTGTCCTGACACTTGCTTTGTAGATCAGGCTAGCCTCAAACTCACAGAGATCTGCCTGCCTCTGTCTGCCAAGAGCTGGGATTAGCTTACTTCTTACAGTGGCTTTCCTAATGTCTTCATCTACTGAAATGACTGTGAATAACAGAGTTATTTCAGAGAATATGGTCTCTAAGTAAAACAAATACACAAGATAGTTTATAAGTCAGCAAAATATCCTAACAATATGAAAAAGAAAAATATAATTGTATGATAGCAAGTACTTGTATGTATAAGTAATATAAATGCCTAAGTTTGCATACTGTAAAAACCATAATGAAAGAGGAGCCAGGATGTAGGCTCAGTGGTAGAACACTTTACTAACATGAATGAGATCCTGGGTTCAATCCCCAGCACTGCATCGAGCCCTAACCCAACCCCACAAAACAAGAAAATCTGAAAACATTCAAAACAAAGTATCCAAGGTACTGATGAACACTAGGATTTACCAATACTATAAGCCACGGAAGATTATATTTTTACAAATAGGAAAATAAAAAAGAAATTATTTCATTGGAGGAAAAAGTGGCGTATCAGGCATATTGTAGACTGTTGAAGTGAAGAATAATTAGAATGTTTGATATTTACACAAATTATTTGACTCTTGTTTTCCTATCTTGTCAAAGAATGTCTCTGTGCTAATTAGAATATGGGGTGATTCAGACACAATGCAAACATGGGTGCTGAGACTTTAGCGATTGAAAAAACTTGGCACTCTGTATCCTGTTAGAGATGACGAGAAGCAGTGAAGATCAGAGCCCAAAAGGACTCAGGGACGTTGGTCTGTTGGCTACCTCGTGGAAGCTGAATGGTAGGTGTGAGCCACTAGTAGTACATATGGTTTGAATAAACATGGCCCCTTTAGGCTCATATATTTGAATGCTTAGTTACAAGAGAGTGGAACCATTTGAAAAGATTATAAAGATTAGGAGGTATGGCCATGTTAGATAGAGTAGGCGTGGTCTTGTTGGAGGAAGTGTGTCACTGGGGTTGGACTTTGAGGTTTCAAAGCCAATACCAGGTCCAGTAGCTCTCTCTCTTCCTGCTCCCTACGGATCAGGATGTAGAATTCTTAACTATTTTTCCAACACCATATCTGTCTGCATGCCACGATTGTCACCATGATGACAATGAACTAAGCTTCTGAAACTGTAAGCAAGCTAATTAAATGCTTTCTTTTGTAAGAATTGCCTTGATCATGGTGTCTCTTCATAGCAATAGAACAGTGACCAGAACAATAAGTATATATATAATATTTAACTTTCATGACTAGAATTCACATCACTATAATTGAAAACTATTTCAGTAATTAGCAAAATATCATTTGTAAATAGCATCAAGTATTTTTAAACTATTATTAATAAAATACAGTATATCCTTGAATTATATATATATACTATATATATGTATATTCACTGACATAATAATATTTGGGACAGATTATTTGCTCTGTTTCATTTATATAGTTTCTTTACTTGATTTTTCTCAATGACTGATCAGTACTCTGAAACCATCTTCTATGAAGCTAAGCTTACTTTGATGAGCTATTTATGCTTTTTTCAAATGTAGTGGATGTAAAAGCTCTATCTGAAATCAAAATTATCTGTAAATTGATGGTGTCTTGGATATTTTCTTATTGCTGTGAATAATGCCTGGCAAAATGGCAAGTTAAGGAAGGAAAGCTTCATTTTAGCTTTCAGTTCGGAGAAATTCAGCCCGCCATGACAGGGAAGACACGGAAGCACTTAGGAGACAGAATGGTTATCTGGTTGACCCCCCCTTTGCGCTGTAACAGCACAGCCTTCACATTCCACCCCCACCCCCACCCCAGACCCGGGTCCTGCTGGAATAGGGACAGTCTGGATGGGGCAGCTCCCAATCAGTAAACAACCCCAAGAGAGTCTGACAACTGATGACCCTAAGCTAACCATCTTGAAAGGGACTTAGCAGCATATTTCTGTGGCTGTTGCAAATATTGTGTGTGCATCCTCAGTCCGCGAGCCGGAAAGTTCCTCTTTCCTCTCCAGCTTCAGCAGGCTGACAGGTGGGGAGGCCCCTCGAGGGACTTCTTGGCACTCAGTAACGATTCCAGTATCACCCAATATTGTGATAATCGCACAAACACAGCACACAAATGCAGCTGTTATGAAGCCAGAATAAAACCATCCTAAACTGCACTTCAATCTCCCAGCCCTGCAATAAGACAAAATCTAAAAAAACTTACCTGAAAATTTTCTAAAATGTCAATCGGTGTAAATGCCCTCATAAAATGGACACCAAATAACCTACCACCTCAAGGAGCAATATAAACGTCAATCAAGAAACAGTATATAATCAAAAACTGGAAAAGGAGTTGATGAAAACCCTAGGGTAAAAATCATAGATTTTGTCACATTTATAATATCGGTCAGCACTTTTAAACATGCCTTTTGTTGGAATTTATGGAAACTGGCTTTCCTGACTCCTTTCAGGACAGTTATTCGGCGATATTTCCCTCCCTCCCTCCCTCCCTCCCCCCCCCCCCCCCCCCTCTCGTCCAGACGCCTCTAGAGGGCGCGGGAGTGCATCATGGGGAAGCAATGCGCATGCTCCTCCGCTCCGGCTGCGCTTCCTCCGTCCCACCCTCCGTTCGTCCCACCCTCCGTTTCCGCCGGAAGTTCTGGAAGAGAAGGCCGGAACTCGGGCGGTTCGTTCGCGTAAAAACTTTTGAAAGAGCCTATCAGCGCGAGGGAGGTACTTTTAAACCGTTCGCAGCCTTCAGCGGTGCTGAGCCCAGGCAGTGAGCGGCCTGCGCCATGGATCCTGACGTTTCGTCGCCTAGGCGGCTGGTGCGGCTTCTCAAGGAAAGACATAGAGGTTTCCAGATGTACATGCAGCGCCTGATAGCGAAGGTGGGCTGGGTGGCCGAGGCGGGGAGGGTGCGGCCGGCGGGCGGGCGGGCGGGAATCCAGCGCCCTGGGATCTGACCGGCTTTCCTTCTCCGCAGTATAACCATCCCTTTGAGGACGACCCGCTGGTGCAGATGGCCACGCTGACCTACGAGACACCCCAGGGTATGGAACCCTCCTCGTAGCAGTGTTCTAGAAAAGTGGGGTCTAGAATTTGCAGTGCAGCACCTGTTTCCCTTCACTCATAGGGGACGTTGCAACCGTGAATTGCTGATTTCCTAGTTATTTCTCACAAGAGAATACCCGGAGACACGGATGCAGCCTGATTTTTAAAATGCCTGGCGCGGAAGCCCGAGCTAATTGCTTAGCGGGACAGTGTCTCTGTGATAAAAAGGATGTTTACAACCATGGGTACTCCGTATGGGTGTGTTCACATTCACCGGTGTGCTCAAGCCAATATCCGGGACTGCTCGGTTCTCATTGTGTTGTGTAACTCGGACCCATCTGTTTTGGAGAGCATCTGTCAGGATGCAATTTTACCCCTCAGGAGCAATTTTATTTAATGCTATGGACTGCCTTAAGCGTCTTGGATTCTCTACCTGAGGTGTGTTTTGAATTCGATGAGGCCAGTTCCTTCCATAAGACTCATCCCTAATGTTTTCATTTACTAATACAATCTGATTTCAGATCACAGTCTGCCAAGGGTCCATAGGACCCACCTTGACAAGTGCAGTCTTTGCCCTTAGTTTTTTCGGCTGTTCAAGGCACACACACGTTCGGTGAAAGTTTAACACAGGCAGAAACAGAAATAATACCGCAACAGGTTGCTTTTGCTCCAGATGGGATCAGGACCCAGTAATCCTTAAGGGTGCTGCCTGTCTCTAGGCTTCTCTATGTGATTGTTCATGCAGGGTGGGCAATGTCTGGAATGTTTTGGACAGCCTGTCTGTCTCGAATAACACTCATTTTTGCCGGTGAAAACCTGATGTCGGTTATATGAGAACAACCGTGAAGTATCTTTACAGTTTGAGACCGTCACAGGTCAGCATATAACAGCCCTCCCTGAGAACTAGCCAGCCCACAGACTCCTAGGGCTACGGCTGTTAGCTAATAGCTCTGTATCCTAGCAAGCTCGTGGCTTGTATTCATGCCGCAAGTCCCTCATCCTGTAACTTATTCTAAGAGAGTTTGTGGCCTGGCATTTCCTAAGATGCTCCTGGCCCTTCCTGTGTAGTATGAACTCCTGTTCAAAGACAGTGATTGCAGTAGAGACAGCAGGGACGGAACCATTGGCCTGTATTGATGGTTCACCTGTGCCTGCACTTGTGCATTTTGTGGAATTCCATTTCGATCCTGCAGTGGAAGCTCCTGTTAAAGGTCATTGCAGTTAAATGTAGATTCCCCACCGAGAGGGCCACTCAGCCAGAGTGGCAAAGCCTCGGTGGGCCGCTTGAGCCCATATACTCAAGCATCGCTATCTTCTGGAAAGACTGTGTTGCAGTCAGCACCTCCCAGAATTCACATGCTGGCTCCGCTACGTGAGCGGAGAACCTGGGCTAGTCACTGCCAATGAACATGGTCTCTGTCCCTTGGGCTTCTAGGAGGGTGTAGGAGTTCTGTGCTGATGGGCTGTGGGTACTGAATGATGTCTCCTTGGTAAAATCTGGAGCAATGAGGGTGTTGTGCAATTTTTTTTTCTGCTTCTGTTAATACAGTCATATCAAACCTCAAAACCCACCCTTCTTCTAAGTAACTTGTATTTTCTCAGGAGATTTAGAAGAACTGACAGGTTCTGCTAGTGAGTGACAGGACTGGGACACTTGAACTCCAGCGTTCTCTGTATCATGCCACTAGACTGCCCTAGGAAAGCACTGACTTCCAGGATGAGGTGCAAAAATTGCCCTATAAAAATGCTTGCTCTAAGCCAGGCAGCGGTGGTGGTACACGCCTTTAATCCTAGCACTCGGGAGGCAAAGGCCAGTGGATCTTTGTGAGTTCAAGGCTAGCCGTATCTATATAGTGAGTTCCAGGACTGCTAAGGCTATACAGAGAAACCCTTTCTCGGGGGGGGGGGGAGTTTGCTCTGTGAATGTATGCTATATGTGCCTTCTCCCCAGTGAATATGCATCCTAAGAGTAGTATGGAATATGAGCTGTCCTCAGCTCTTCAGGTTGAAATTGGGAAGCTGCTGCTTTCTGGATCGGAGAGATTGTCATTAGTGATGTTTATCCAGCACTGTCAAATCTGAATTGCTTTTCATGTTCACCTTTTGTGCTGTTCAGCTTGGCTTTCTCTCCATGCATTTGGAGCAGGAACTGAGCATTTCCGGTTACTTCAATTGTCGTCTTCCTCTTTTAAGGACTGAGAGTTTGGGGAGGAAAGCTGATAAAGGAAAGGAACAAGGGACAAACTCAGGTAACTGCCATCAAGTTTACTGCCTTAATGCTTTGCTGTGGTGTGTCGGTGTGACTGATCCCAGGGTGGCTGAGCCCCCAGGCCACTGCTGAGAGCTGTGAGAGACTGCCCCAGGGACGCTTCTCTTTCTCTGCCTTTTCTCCTCTGAGGATCCACCAAGAAGTGTTTCTTCCATTGCCTGGCTCTTGTGTGCTACCTTTTCTCCAGCATAGTCCATAGGGCCCCTCACGACAGTCGTATCTGTGCAGATGCTGGACCAGCTTGGAGACCTTCAGGCTGTGTACGAGACCAGCTGGGGGCGCCTTTGTTGGGTCCTTATAAAGAAGACCAAATCACATTTCCTTTGAGGGAAAAACAGTGCCCCTTTCCTCTTCGGGAACCAGGCAGCAGAAAGATGAGAGGAGGCAGAGAGCCGACCCACACAGCCTTCTGCCCTTCTCTGCCTCAGCCGTACAGCTAGTGATCGGACAGGGCTCCCTGCTGTGAGGCTGGGTGTGATCTTTTGCCCTAGGAATGAGTATAAGACTGTCTAGTCTAATTGAATCTCGGGCAACCATGATTCCTGGGGAAGCCTGTTACCCAGAGTAGAACATCAAAATTAAGGTTACACAGCTTAAACAGCCATTCTGTTAACTAATTAACTAATTAACTAAGCTTCCCTGGTTTATTATAGCTGCAGGAAGACTAGAGCTCTTGGGTTAGCGGACCACAGTGCCATGTGATCATTGGTGCCACCTTAGTTCCTATCTGTAAGTGCACCTCACACCCCTTTCCAGTTAACCAGTAAGGGAACCCTTGTTTTCACCAGTTGGTATACTCTAAATGCTTTTTGGCTTTTTGAGGTGAAATCACTAGCCCAAACTAACCTGGAACTTGCTATGTAGCCCAGGCTGGCCTCAGACTCTCATCAGCCCTCCTTTGGCCTCTAGAGTGCTAGTGTTACAGCCATGTTCTGTGGTGGCTAGGTTTTGTTTGTTTGAAATTGCTAATCGGTTCCAAGGAAGGCATTTGCCCTTTCACCTTCCTCTGTTATGAATCAGGGTATGCATGCTTTTGTCTGTAAAGATGTAAGTATTTGGGGATGTGCCAGGCATGTGTGTGTTATTGTTGGTCAGCTCGGTCGTGTGAGGGGAGCCACCAGAAGGGTGAACGTGAGCACAGCTGATCTATTCCATGGCTTGGTTTATGAAGCCCATTGCATGGCTCTCAAGGAGCAGCCCATCCGAGTCCTTGTGTCCTCCTGGGCCACAGAATGCAGCGACACACCTGACAGCCCAGTGCTAGAATGGTCATCCTGGTAGCAAAAGTTATTTAAGGTTTTTGTTTAAAATGTAGAAGACCCTCTGGCTGGGGTCTGTAGAATTGCCAGAGTTTTATTAGGACTAGAAAAGTGAGCGTGCATAGCCTGTAGGTACAGCTGGGGACCTCCACAGTGTTACTGGGTTTATCATTGGTGATCTCCCCCCAAGACCAAGTGTTTGTGCTGGTTCCAAGATTGCCCTTGGTGGGAGTCAGGAAGTCAGAATGGACTGACTCCCCATTGCCCTGCACTGGTTTGCCATGGGCTCACACATACAAGCAGTAGGGGTGCTGAGGACTGCCTGCTTCCATGAGTGTCAGGAGTCACTTAGTTTGGTGCTTATGGGCCACCTCAGGTCCCCTGGGCCCATAGAGCTAGCTCCTGAAAGGACATCGCTCACTGGGCTGGCTTCTAAAATCATGCAAGCAGTCTTCTATGTTGAGTGCTGACACTTTACTAACAGGCACTTGTTGGTGCCATCTTCGTGGAGCCTGGTGAATACAGGCCTTAGAGAGCAGAAGTGGCCTCTCTGGGGGAGTGACCATTTGGCAGTGCTCAGTGGCTCCACCCAGCAGGAACTGCAGCGGCCACTTGTAGATCCCAGGTCAGCCTTGTGGGTTCCTGGCTACTGCTATAGTCTCTCCTTGACCAGTGGAACTTTCCGCTGTCTTCTGGGAGTCTGAAGGCCTTCATTAAGCACGTACAGGAAGATAATTACAAAGCTTTTATTTCCCTGTGTCCCACTAGAATTGTGAATGTATGATATGCAATGGCTAGAAATGTGTTGTTACTTCATCAAGCTTGTATTTCTTGATTTTTTTTTTTTTATATACCCCAAGGACCCTTCTGTGAAGATGATTACCAGACTAAATAAGCAAGCTCTGGAGGACACTGAGCGTTTCCAGCTCTGGACAGAAGTCCTGGAAGCTGGTGAGTGTCGCCTTGTTAGAAAGGGAGGCTAGGGACAAGGCTGGCTTGTCCTACAAGCAGTTTACAGCTGAGGTATCTCATTGTTAATGTTTTATGTAGATTTCTTGTCCTCCTAGGTCCTTGGGTGGGGACCCATATCTTTCCCACTGGTGTCAACATCTAGTAGATCTTAGGGGTTGCCCTTGAAGGTGATTGGAGCACCATCTTCTATAGACATGACCCCTCTCCAGCCTCTGCAGCCAATGTCTGTCTTTGCTATCTCAGCTTCGCTCCCTTCCCAAGGTTTCCAGGCTGTGCTCTTCCTGTCTCCCTGGCTCCCTCCAGTCAATCCCTTTGCGGCCACATTACAGAAGGGTAGTTTTTTCCAAGTGAAAACAGGGAGCAGGTGGTAATACTGCTTGCTGGGGTTCCTCATTTCCTGGTATTAATTCAGATCCTAGCTCCACAAACACCTAGATCCACTACCTCCCCCACTGTTTGAAGCTACTCAGAATGGTTCCCTGAGTGCTTGCTACCTTGGGTGTCGAGGCCATGAGCACCCTTGAATGTTTCAGTGAGTCCTAAGTTAAAAGTTCTGCTCCTCGGCCTGACTAGCCTTATTTCACAGTCCGGGGACAGTAGGTGGGGACTCAACCCTGGGAGTTTGGTCTGCTTGGTGACTGACTGTCAAGTGTCTCCGATCAGAGGTTCGTGACGTGGCGAATCTGCTGCTCCTGTTGTCAGGTGGGGTATCTTCCTGATCAGAGGTGCTGGACTACTGGTGATCGGGTTTTTGTTTTGATTTTTGTTTTGTTTATTGAGACAGGGTTTCTCTGTGTAGCCCTGGCTGACGTGGAACTAGCTCTGTAGACCAGACTGGCCTCAAACTCAACAGAGATCTGCCTGCCTCTGCCTCCTGAGTGCTGAGATTAAAGGCGTGCACCACACTCTTAATAACCCCTAAGCCATCTTCCCACCCCCAGAGGAACATTCTTAAGCCAACAGGGATCTTTACTGTAGACATATCTCAACTGATGCATAAACTACCTGTGAGATGCTTCATGCGTTCATATTTTCTTCACTTTCAGAAAGCAGCAGTGCAGATACAAGGTCAGACCAAGAGGAACAGCTATCTTGCACCTCGATGGTAAGAGAAGCTTCTAATAACAATAGGCAGAATCGTGTGGCTGCAGCTCCCAGACAGCATATGACCTGGGGCAGCACCCCTCTTTTCTAGATGTCCCCCAAGTCTCTGCTGCTGCCCTCCGCTCTGGTCACCCCTTCAGATCCCGAGGCCCCCACTCCTCAGAGGCCAGTTCTCTGCTCACTTCCACTGTTGGATGAGCACAGACCAATTCAGAAAGGTGCTCGCTACATGCCGTCATCTTTGACTGGCCTCTAGATGTTGTGGTTTATAGTTACCCAGCCTAGCCTTGTCAGACAGGGACATGACTGAATACTTCCAGGTCAGCGTTTAAAAATCTATATGGTCAGCTGGGCTGTGGTGGCACACACCTTAATTCCAACACTTGAGAGACAGGGGCAGGTGGATCTCTGAGTTCACGGCCAACATGGTCTACAGAGTGAGTTCCAGGACAGCTAGGGTTGTTTATACAGAGAAACCCTGCCTCAAAAAATCAAATGAAAAGTAAATTTGTATGGTCACAAGGTTACTAGCCTAAAAGCTGAGTGCCCTTATGTATTGTTTCCTGTAGTGTCCCCAGGGTGCGAGTGACCTGCCTCCTTGTACCCTGTGGGTCTCACTTCCATGGTTGGTTAGTGAAGGTGACAGCCCTCATGGAGCTTAATTGGTAGAGCACTTTCCTGGCCATGTGGCACTGGATGTCAGAAAGGGAGGTGAACCCTTCTGGTGTCAAGAGTGGGAGAGCCAAAGCTCTCTTCTCAGTCGGCAGCCAGAGTGTTCAGATTGTCTCCAACCTCCCCACTTTGTTTCTGAGTAACGCTGTTATAGACATCTTCAGGATTGTGCGCTCTTGGTCGTTAGTTTTAGTTTAGATCCCTGATGAATTCCCTGCAGCCGCACAGTGGGTCTGGAAGCTCTAAGAGCCCAAGCCACATTATGACAGCGAATGCGGAAGAGTGACTGGATAACTTCCTTTAAATAGTCAGGCATACGTGAGCTTTCGGATTGCTCCGGAATTCGCAAGGCTGAAAGTACCTGGCATTCTTGCTCAGTATTTTGACTTCTCTTTCTGACCAGCTTTCAGTGCCTGGAAGCCCTTTGAAAAATGACTTAAGAAGGAAGTACTTGGCCAAGATGCATGTCCGGCTTCGAGATGAGGAGTATTTTAAGGTAATTTGTGTGTGTTGGTGAGACTGACCAGGCATTGAAGACAAATTGGGGTGCAGTAGTTGGGGTTTCATGTGCTGTCCTCAGAGCCTGTGAAGGGATTTGGTAATTATGTCCACACTCTTCACAAACTGTCAGCCTTTCTCTTTTCTTAGTGAGCACCTCGCGGAGTCATGCAGGGGCGGCTTGTCCACGTGCATGGGCTGGCTCAGCTCCAGGGGGCACAGACTCCGACTGCAGCTCTAGGGCTGGCTGCGCAGCTGAGGAAATAGCTACCCCACCTTCCCTGGTGCGGTCACACCCTGCTCCCAGCCTGCAGGCCTCTCTCCTAGCCCAGGTGCCCTCTGCTCCACGGCATGCTTTCTCAGTGTTTTTGCCTTACACAGCCTAGGACCACCTGCCATCAGGTGACGTCACCCGTAGTGAACTGGGCCCTCCTTCATCAGTTAATAATCAGGACATGCCCACAAACTACCCGCTTGAGATTCTCTTCAGGTGATTGACCATGGCTACGTCAGGTTGATAGCTAATGCTAACTCGGGCAGTTAGTGTTGGAAGTTACCCTGAAGATGTCACCTCTGGTTTCCCAAAGCATCTTTCATAAAGCAAAGGACACCCTAATACCCTAATGTCAGATGCCTAAGAAGTAATGTTAAGTTACAAGCAATGGCACCCCTCTGACAGCTGCAAGTTCCCATGAAGTCAATAATTCTTACTGTGCTGATGGCCAGTGGAAGCCTGTTTGGGGATTCATCGGTCACTGCCATAGGAATACATTCTCTATCACCTAGCAGAGTAGTTGACATCCTCCTGGCTGTTATGTGGTCAGAGGAGAGGGCTGGAGTTAGGCCTGAGTTTATCTGACCTCTGCCCGCCACCTACATGGCCTCTGGACATTCTGACTAATCCAAGTTGTCCCAGTTAGGGTTTCTGTTGCTGTGAGAGACACCATGACCACAGCAACTTTTATAAAGGAAAACATTTAATTGAGGTGGTGGCTTCGAGTTTCAGGAGTTCAGTCCATTATCCTCATGTCGATCACAGTGGCAGGCAGGCAGACTTGGTGCTGGAGAAGGGGCAGCAACAGAAAGTGGAGTGTCTCGCTGGGCGTGGCTTGAGCACATATGAACCCTCAAAGCCCACCTCCACAGTGACACACTTCCTCCAACAAAGCCCTGCTTCCTAGGAGTGTCGCTCCATTTGGGGCCATTGTCTTTTCAAATCACCACACAAGAGTAATGGTAGCCAAGAGCCATTGCTAGTCGGGCAGGGAGTAGCTGCCAGAAATGAGGCTGTGTCCTTGGGGACAGAGTTCTCAGATGTTTAGGAACACCCCTTCCCTCTGTGGCTTGAAGATTGTCAGCCACTGTCATGTTACAAATACACTGCCATGTGTATTTTTAGGACGAGCCCAGTTCCATAAGCCCAAGGTCTTAATATCCCAAACTCTTACAATCATTGGCTCTGATTTCAGAACGCCGAGAAGAGAGACGGAAAAGATACACTCATGACTTGGGTTCCTCCCTCACCTGTCACACCAGAACCTGGTGAGTATGAGGGAGTGATTTTACATGAACTTTTATCTGTGGATACTTAGGGCCCTTGGCATCACCTATGGTGGGTGTTCAATGTGGGGTGTGTCTCACAACATAAACTTAGTGATGTGTGCATATCCTAGAACGTAACGACTACTTCAGTAGAGCCTCACTGTAGTCCAGGCCATCCTGCAAGTTTTTATAGTGAGCTGCTTTCCCTCTGTGGTCACGCCACCAGGTGTTACATAGCTCTTTGCCCTCGGTGTGAACATTTTGAGTCTAGCAGCACAGGGGTAACCAGTGGCATCCATCTGTGTGTCACGGGTAACACTGGTCATCGTTCCTTCACTGGCCTCCCTGGCACATATGCATGAACGTGAGCACTCTATATTTACTTAGCTCATATTTGTAGCACCCCTAAATGCTTCACATGTGCTTCCCAGGAACCAGGTGATTCTCCATGACTATTGCAAGTTTAGAATGTGCCAGAAACTTCTCATTGGCATGACACAATTTTACCAGTTGAGCCACAGTGTCCTTTGCAGCCGTTTTTGTCAGCTGGCACCCGTTGCACTTAGCGGCTCCATGAGTTGCCACCGCTGTTGTTTTTCATGCTTTTCACCTGTCTGAGTGCTCCAGCTGGGCTTCTCCCGTTTCTGTAGGATGGATTCTACCTTTTAAAATCCGTGAAATAGTCGTGTGATACAGCAGTCAAAGCTGCACCTTGCTTTGCAGTCTTCCCAACCATCCCTATAGAGGTCAGGAGTTTGGGGTCATTTGCTGGCTTTTGTTCCACAAGTGCGTGCATGTGTTGAGGTGCTACAGCCCACAGAGTCCAGATTCCCCTGGCGCTGCAGTCACAGGCATTTGTCTGTTGCCCACTGCAGGTGTTGGGAACCGAACTCTGATACTCTGGGAGAGCAAGTGCTCCTAACCTCAGCGTCTCTCCAGGCCCCTGCCTTGGCTTTTTTGATTGAATATGCTTATGTTTATAGAATTTTCCTTTCTAATTCATTTTTAAAGTTTTTAATCCATATGTGTATTGTATCGGCCTTTGAGTTGATAGCCATCTATAAACAGTATAAGGGGGAGAAAACTCCTCTTGCAAAACTGGGGTGAAAAGTCAAAATCTAATTTTGGTTGCTAAAATAAAGTCTCCCAAGGAAATCTATCCTTAACATCCCCAGGGTTACTTTGTGTTACTTTAAACCGTGTGATTGTGATCCCTCTTGAGCTCCCTGACCTTCTCTAAGTATGGGCGAGTTGAGCCATGGTTTACCTTGACTTTGTATATTTTTCTCCCAGGATGCCAGGATAGTATCTCTACAGTGAGCCTTAGTAGCCCTAAAGAGTCAACTTCAGCTGATATGAGCCTTATACCTAGAAATGACAGCTTCTCCTTACTAGAGACCAGCAGCAGCAGTTTAAACAACCAGTCCCTTGAGGCTGATGACATTTGCAATGTGACAGTCAGTGATATGTATGAAGGCATGATCCATTCGATGAGTAGGCTGCTGAGCCTAAAGCCATCGTGCATAATCTCCACCAAGACCTACATCAACCAGAACTGGAACCTCAGGAGGAGGCTCTCACATAAGAGTGGGGTGCACTTGAATAGGACATACTGCTATGGGAGCAAGCCCTCCCGAAGGAGCTCCAAGAAGGGGCCCTGCTCAGAGCCAGGGAAAGAGGCCACGATACTAAGAAACTGCACCAACCTACCGCACATTGTTACCCTCAAGACAGACTTAAAACTAGAAAGGGAAGCTTTCGAAGGAAGCAAACTCCAAGTCCATAAATGCAGTCCAGCTTGGAAGGCGCTTCACAGGACACCTCAGAAGTGTTTGAACTTAAACACACTGAACTGTCTTGAGCAAGAAAATGGAGCGAAGGCATTCCCGTTGCTAATTTCACCTGGTAAAATAGTTCCCAGACCAAGGATGCTACCTGGGGAAATTGAAATGAAATTTGACAAACTAGCTCAGGAATGTAGCCTGTCTTCTGGGAAACAGCTTTGCCAGACTGGCCCCACTGAGTCCTGGGCTGTAGATGTGTACAGAGGTGGTTCTAGAAGCCCAGGCAGCCCCCAGGGCATAAAAACCCACAGGTTGAGTTCACTTTTCAACAGAGAAAAGGCAAAGAGGTCAAGTGAGGCTTTTGAAGACCTGAGCAAAATATCTGTCAAAGCAAATAGATCCCTCCCGAGGAGCTATCCTGCTCTGTTGGCGTCAGAGGGCAGCACCTCACAAAACCCAGGCCTTTCTCAGCAGAAGGCTGGCCTTTTTCTTCAAGAACCTGATTCTGGACCAATCAGAAGAAAGACAGTATCACCCAGGACTGCTATTTCAGCACCATGGAGAGGGTCTTGGCCCAGTGGACTGGACCACTATGAAGAGATTAAAAAAGAATTTGATAAGATTTATCAGAAGTATTGCCTGATGTCACCTCAGCGGGTGAAGGTGACCTCATATGTTAGAGTATCTCCAAAAAAAGCTGGTGCTGCTCTTCCTTGTCAGACAGCCGACTTAAGAAAATTAAATCCAGACTCTGGATTCCAGCATTCTCTAAAATTGTCAGCATCTGACGGGAACAGAAGCCCGCGTGGCTCAGTTCCAACTGAGGCACACGTATCTGCGCGGACTGCTCGTACCTCTGAGAGAGACCCTCCGATCCCAGCCAAGAGGTGCAAGTTGTCGTACTCCCCTCAGGATTCTTCAGGAGCAGTGGACCAAACAATGCCCTGGCCATAGAAGCAGACTAGCCCCGTGTGGCCGGGCTGCTGAGGAGGTGTTTCTGTCTGTTGAGCCTGCCGGCTATGTGGAGTGAGTAGCTGTGGGGAGAGAAGGCACTATGGCAGACACTTCTCTTTCTCTTGCTGGAGATGGTACAGTCAACCACTGCAGCTCCCTCCCCGTAGCCGTCAGCCCCTGTCCAGCTACCTCCCCTCTTCCACATCACCAACATCTTTGTCTTTTCATGTGGAGTGTTGGTGCCTTGGGCTTCCCCAACCACTCAGCCAAACTTACCCATTATTTGGTCTCCTAATTATATTCAAGGGGATTCTCAATGGCATTCTTTTAATTTTAATTATTTACCTTGTCTCTACTCCCCCCTCCCCATCTTATCCGTCCTCACTTGTGCCTCTGTGTAGTTGAATGTCTCTTGGTATCCACGGGTCTTCGAGGGGACATGGTGTAGACATGGGTAAGTCCATGGATTTGGGGCACAACACAACCATTGGCTTGATCTTTGGAGCTCTGGGTTTTGTGGGGCTTTTTTTTTTCTTTTTGGAGGTTTTTGTTTCATTTGGTTTTTGAGGCAGGGTCTTATATAGTGTGAGCTGACCTCAGCCTCACTGTATAGTCTGGGTGCCCTTGAGTTCCTGATCCTTCTGCCTCTGTTTCCCAAATGCTGAGATTATTTTTGTTTTCTAATTTATTTCCACGGATAAAATACTTTGTGAACTATATATTCCTGGTTGAACTTCCAGAAAGGGTCCCACCTAGGATCAGGCCAGACGACACAGAAGGAATAGGACCAGACCTGCAGAGCAACCCCAGTCCTAGGTGCCTTGCCAACTGGTTCTCTGGCTGCCTGGTGTGGCAGTGTCCCTGGTAGGGTGTACCCGCCAACAATCCCCTTTGCTGTTGATCTTAAGTTGTTTTGTCTAATTGTCTCAACCCCCAGATTGCCCTTTGGCTTTCCTAGGCGAAACAGCCACCGTTGTGTGTCTCAATGGCCTGCTCCAGACACTGGAAGTGATTGTGAGACTGCACTCATGTTTGGGTCCTAAGATCCTCTAGAGACCTTAGCCACTTACAGATAGTGAGTGGGTACAGTCTGCCTTCAACTTGCCCAGTAGCCTTTGTAAATAACTCCCAGCCCAGCAACATAAACAGCTACAACTTGGTGCCCATTGGTGCACTCTGCTAATGGCAACAAACATTGTGCTTGGCTTTCACCTTGGTTTTTTGTTGTTATTTTGGGGGGGGGGTTGTTTTGAGGTGCTAAGGATGGAACCCAAGCTTCATGCTCTCTTCATGAGAGCTGACACGGACCCACACTCCAGTCTGCCGACTTGAGTCTGACAGGTTCCCAGTGCACTTGATGTTCTAGTCACCTCTGCTGGAGCTGGGCTTACTCTGGGTTCACGTGAACCCATCTAGTGCCAAGCATCACAAGTAACTTCTCTGATTTCTTAGTTTTCTGATATTATGTGTAATACAGTAGCTAGAGAGCTTAAGCCTTCTGTTGTGCTTTTGTTGTTGTTTGTTTGTTTGTTTTGTTTTTCGTGACAGGGTTTCTCTGTAGCTTTGGAGCCTGTTCTGGAACTAGCTCTTGTAGACCAGGCTGGCCTCGAACTCACAGTGATCCGCCTGCCTCTTCCTCCCAAGTGCTGGGATTAAAGGCGTGTGGTGGGATTAAAGACCACCACCTGGCCGACTTAAACCTTTTACTCTCCTGAATTCTGTTACTTTATAAAAGAAAATCCACATCAGAAATGGGACATTTCCTCAGTTCTGCTGGTCACCTTTTAGCCTATAAGTGTTCTACACAGTGGGGAGGGGAGCCCAAGGCACAGATGTGTGTAGATATCTTATATGATATATCTTGGGCCAGTGCACAAGTGGCTCTACAGTTATTGATATCAACACTTTACTGCTTATTCAATGGGAGCCAAAAAATAAAAAGCTACAAAAGTCACCCTTGCTGAGAGGTCTCAGCAAGCTAGTTGCTTCTGACTGGGTGATTGCCTCCCTGGTTGGGGTTGGGAATCCCCTGTGTGGTGCTGCCTTCAATACAGTTGCCTGCCCTAACCTCACCCTAGACCACTCTGTTGCCATCCCAAGACTTAGAAAATCTGTCCTTGTTCTCTCTTCCGCATCTGTTTACTAGATACAGGGCTAATTACCCCTTTTCCTCCTTGCCAAACTGTTCTAGGGCCCCACTGAACTGTTCCAGCAACATTCCTTGAGCACCTCAGGCCGGGGTAAGCTTTGAACATTGCTTCCCCAGGGTGTCATGGTTGGCTACAGATACATCTTTTGCTTTAGGAATTAGGCCCCTGGGGGCAGGCTGGTCAGTAATTTCACCTTCGCTTGCTGCTTGGCACCGTGCGTCAGATGTGGGCGAGCACTGCATGACCACACCCACAAAGGCTCAGCAAAGGATGAAGAGGCCCCATTGCCCCTTGGTCAGCTCTGGGATGCCGTGTCCACATAGCCAGGAACCTGCACTCCAGAGAGCCATGGCGGAATATTTCAGAGGGAGAAGAGAGATGGGTACTCATTCTTTATCAAGTTGTTTTTTGTTGTTGTTTTTTTCTACAAATGAGATCATTTTCTACAAAATGATTTGCCTTGCTATGGCTGACGTGACCCTGACGAGAGTTTACACCTTACATTGGGGCCACTTAGGGCAGTCCTCTGGGTGAAGCCAAGAGCCAGTGCTGATTGCAGTTGTCCAGGACTTTGAGGGTCTCCAAGGCTGCCCTCCTGACGCCAGCATCGGAATCTAGCTGTAGGTCCTGGAGAGCTGAGTGGGAATAGAAAAGAGCAGGCCTTCTGGTCAGGACCACATGAATTCTGCTGATTGAGGCAGGCTGACACCAGCAGGGACACCCCTGGGAAGCTGGTGTGGAATCAAAAGTGGGCCATAGGCCTAAGTTCCCACACTCTCCACACACCTGTCAGGACTCCTTACACCACCTTGGCTGTGGGATTGGGGCAGAGGCTGCTGAAGTAGCTGAGAACGGGGATGGCATGGACTCCACCTACCAAATGGTCCTGGAAATCTCTCCCTACATGCAGTCCCAGGTCCAGCTATTCCCTCTTCCCCGAGCAGCTCACAGTCAGGAGTCACCAGCCCTTTCCCATCATGGTCTCAAAGTGTCAGTGAGTCATAAATTTCTACAACTGAGTCTGTGCCACTTAACAATTCCGAAGCCCCACAAGGTCCATCTTCTTCAGATAATGGGCAGACAGCTGCTTCATGATAATTCCTGAAATGACAGAGGTACTCCTTATACCAGGGAGTGTTCAGCAGACAGTTCTGCCTCCCTCCTTCAAGAGGTGCAGGTTAATCTATGAAGATATCTGTCAAGTATTGTCAGGCTGAAGTCGGTAGTGAGCACCCTTATTCAAGCAAGTATGGAGCCCTGTGAACTAGTAGGCCCGGTACTGTAAGGTAGACCTAGATTCTCATCCCAGCCCAGACACTTGTCTCTCCATCCAGGCCTGGGGCTTCAAGGCTCCCCTTAGCCTGAACACATCTGTCCGCTCACCTGCCAAGGCACAGGCAGCGATTCTGATCCTTGACAAATTGCTCTTCATGAAGATCGTTGTTTCTACCAGGAAGCCACAAAGAGTAGCAGGCTTTTTCTGGGCCTGCAACAAACAAGTGCTACATGTTGAGGGTGAGATGGGGACAGGCATTCCCATCTGATGAGTCAGTGCTTGGCCATAGAGGGCAAGGACCCCTCCCAGCACCACCCAGCAGAGCAGCTGGGCCCAGTAATGACCCTTAGCTCCTGGTTTCGTAAACCTGTGCTGTCCAAAACACCAGCTACTGGCCACTCTTGGCCCCCGAGTGTGGGAACATGGCTGATGGGAATATCAGGGACCTTCCTGGACTTGGTCATAATTTAGTTACCTGGATCTAAATAAATCCTATTGTCAAAATTAACTTTTGTCTCTACTTTGATTGTGGCAGTTATAAAAGGTAATGTGGGCATCCTCACATTGTCCCTTTAGGTGTTTCATGGTAAAAGGTGAACATGGGGTCATAAACCAACCTTGTGTCCCCCCCCCCCCCCCGCCTTCTCACCAGTATGGAGGACATGTTTGTCTGAAAAACCGTCATCTGGTCATTGATGCTGTCATTGCTGTGACCAAAGGAGCTCTCCAGGGACTTCCAGCCCCAGAAATGCACACAGTGAAACATGGTAGCCAAACATGCCTGAAGGAACGCAGGACATAAGACAGCAGGAGAAACATGAACATCGGGGCGCTGGGTAGCATCTCACCCGTGGAGTGAGAGGGCAGCCCTATAACGGCCCCCAGAGCAAAGAAAAGCCAGGCTGGAGGCTCCAGGGAGCTCATGAACCTATGATAAGCCCTTGCAGGTCAGGTACCCCTGACATGCTCCTCCAGCCAACACTTTTACAGCAGCCCTGCAGGAGTTGGAGCCAGGAACACATTTGGATGGGCAGGCCTCCTACTCTACTCTCTCCCACCCCACTTCTCCCACTCCCAAAGATGTGACAGACCAAGCTGGGCCCTCTCAACTCCTAGCAGCCCTAACATGAGTATACCCACAGGGACCTGTAAGGGAAAGTTTAAGACAAATTTTAAGTGGGACCAAGTCCAGGTATGGCCTGCAAGATACTGAATATTCTAGAAGGAAAGGAAATAAGACACTAGCGTTCATAAGCTCCCTTTAGGAGTCCCTGGCAGGATTCCTATCCCAGCATGCATAAGGGATGGGGCAGATGTAGAGTGAGTAAATCAGGTAGCTCACTGAGCCAGCAGAACCAAGGCACCTTTTCCCTTTGGCACTGCAGCCCCAGATCAGAGGACACAGAGGAGGGTGTTTGTTACCTGAGCTGCACTGGGGCAGGGGTCTTGGCAGTGCAGCATGAGGGAGACCCAGCCTCTCTTCACCTCCCCTTTGAAGAAATGCTTCTTGGAAATCCCAACCACCTTCGCCAGCTTCCCGAAAAGGGTGAAGGCCTTCAAACGTATCAGCTCGCTCTCCTGATACCAAGAGGTACAAGTGGGCTGGCAGCGGGAAGCCAGGCAAAACCCCAGCCTTCCTCCAGGGACCATTCCAATGCCTTGGTTTCCACAGAGCTTTCTGGAACCGTTCATCACGACAGTCCCTCCTTCCTCAGGATTCATGTAGCACTCAAGAGACCGGGCATGATTCTAGCTCGGGAGCCCACCCCAAGGGCGTGTATAAGAGTTCGAATGGAATATGCATGCACCGTGTTGCCTGCTCAGCTCCAGTCTCCACAGGCGCACAGAGAGTGTATGTGAGCTGCAAGGGGTGACTGGGTTCTCCTCCTTGTAAGGTAGAAGCACCTGAGCCCTCAGATTCTAAGGTGCTGATTCTCTGGCTCTTGGTATACGACATGGTTGCTACAGGACCCCAAAATCAATCAAGGAACGTTACCACACCATGGAGAACCAGCTATTCTGCCCCCAGACACATCTCTTTGTGCTGTGAAACACAGGGTGCTGTGGCTTGAATGTGCCCCAACCTAGAGTCCACATGTGGGAAGCTTAGTCCTCCAAATCATATATAGATGGCATTTGTAGGTGAGACCTTTGGAGGCAATCAGTATGAGATTCTGAGGGTGGCGTTCTCATGGTGGCCTTAGTGGCCTTATAATAAGAAAGGCTCCAAGCTAGCGCACTCACTCCATCTCAATACAACATAGCAAGCACCGTGCTCTCAGATACCAGACTCCAGAACCACATGCTGCATAGATCATTACGCTTTATAAATCCTCCAGTCTCGGGTGTTGTCTTAAAGCAAGAGGACACACAGATATGGAGGGAAGCTCTTATCTGCACTCACGCTGTCGAAGAATGCCCTGCACTGTTCAGAGATGGCTTCAAACGAAGATCCTATGTCCCCCTCTCGGAGCTCAGCCAGGATCTTGGTCAGGGCCTCCATGGCTTCAGCCATCACACTGCAGCTCGCCTGTCCCTGCAGGGAGCCCAGGCACTTCTCCAGCAGGAGTTTTCGATACTGCTTCACCTAGAGGAATTCAGATCACTCAACTGCACCCCACACTTCCTGGAGGAGTGTGCCCACAAAGCCCTCAAGCCCCTGGGACCTGAACCAGTGCCCGTTTGATACCTTCCGAGGAGCACCGAGAGCCATGTTGCCCAGGGCACGCAGAGAGAGCACCTGCAAGGTTTCATCTTTGTCCTGCCCTGTGCCCTTCTCCAGCATCAGCACCACCGGCCTCAGCAGCTTCTCCTGGTGCAGAACCGGGTCACTCATGAACTAGAAAAGGGAGTGTTGCAGTTACCCATAGTGGAGGGCCGCTACTCAGCAACAAGGCAGAGGAGTCGGGGGCAACACAGAGAAGGCCACTATGTGAGAGGAAGGGAGGGGACCAAGTGCCTCTGTCTTCTCATCCAGAAAAGGGGGTGGTACAGCTGCCCCAGATTTGATGTAGCATTCAGTAAGGAACCACGTGGGAAAGCAACAGGGTAAGCGCTGCCTCTTGTAGAGACGGGCATACCTTATAATTAATTTCTTCAGTTAAGATGCTGCCATGGGTAAAAGCCTCACCTACCGGTGCCTGAACAGAGGTGTGTGCAGAAGCATGAATTAAGGACAGTTAACAGAATCTCCATCAGGCTGTGCCCAAGAGTGTCAAGACTTTGGGCCAGTGGGGAACCTGTGGGATGCATGTGTGTGCGCATGCTCAAGACCACCTGAGTATTTTTAAGCATGTGTGTTTGGTGTGTGTGTGCATGCACACGCTCAGAAACACCTGAGTCTTCTTTAATTGTGTGTGTGCAAGCGCACACTAGTTTGCAGGCAAACACACCTGCGGAGGCCAGAGGCTGAAGGTAGTATCATCTGTTGCTTTTCTCCTTACTTTTTTTGTTGTTTTGTTTAGAGACAGGGTTTCACTCTGTAGATCAGGTCAGCCTTGAACACATAGAGGCATGCACCCGCTTCTGACTTCTGAGTGCTGGGATTAAAAGCATGTGCCACCAGTCCTGGCCTTCAGGGTCTCTCCCTGAACCCGGATCTCTGGCCAGTAAATCCCCCAGATGTGCCTGTCTCCACTCCTTACCCCACCAACTCTGGGGTTTCAGTCATAGCTCTATACTCAGCTTTTCTGGGGGGTCCTGGGGCCTGAACTCAGGTCCACAGGCTTACACAGTAAGCGCTTCGTGTGCTGAGACAGGTGTCCTAGTCTCATGAGAGTGTTTTAAAGAGGCCTAAAGGAAACTAAACATCTTGGTGGATTCTGGGGCAGAACCTGGTTTTCACTGCCATGTCCAGTGCCTTGAGGCCCCTTAGGCCCACAAAGCTCTCCTGTTCCGCTAAACGGCTTGAGGAGCTCCCAGTAAGGGCAAACAGTTGGCAAGTAATGACCACATCCTACAGGGCAAAATCCAAACTCCTCACCAGGCCCTTTGGCTCAGCCTCTGCCCTGCCCAGTACCTGACCCTTAGCCCAGCTTTGCAATCTGTAATCTCTTCCCATAATGATTTTTTAATGGTTTACAGAGGCACAAATATGGAAGGAATCTATGAGCCTAAGAAAGCTTGACGACTGGGGCACAGTCCAAAGCTGGGTATCATTTTCACGTATTTAAGTACTAGAAAACATCTCAAGGGATAATGCCCCATGGAGACTGTGTTTAGTCTAAGGGTCAGTGTCCCTTGGGAACCCAACCGTGCGTACTTTCTGTGGCTCTCTCCCCTCAAATAACCGGGTCTCCCATGACCCCTAAGTCAGGAAAACTTCTTCATTTTGAGGCCTCTCACAGAAGGTTTGCTGTCTGCAGCCAGGGCTGCTTTGATCCTTAAGGCAACTGGACATGATACAATGACACTTCTCCCAAGGGTTCCCTAGCCAGCTCCTCTAAGCCTCCATGAATGCTCTAACCACACGATAAGGGTAACCAACCCTGATGCTCTCCCTGTTTTCCTGTGGCAAGGTGAGCACCTCCTAGAGCTGACCAGGGAAACACTTCTCAGCCCCAACTGAGGAGCTCCTTTTGCTTGGTTCCCTAGAGACACAGGCTGTGTCTCAGCCTCTGCATGCCCACAATGTCAGTGAGTAGTGAAGGAGGGAAGACCCATACAGAGCATGATCTGTCCCCTAAGCTCAGGTCCCCAAAGACCAGGTGCCTGCCCTGGAAATGGGTGTGGTAGTTTGAATGTAAATGGCCCCATAACCTCACAGGGTGAGGCGCTGTTAGGAGGTGTGGCTTTGTTGGAGTGAGTAGGGCCTTGTGGAGGAAGTGTGTCACTGTCGGGGTGGGCTTTGAGGTTTCCCATACTCAGGATACAGCCTAGAGTCTGGAGTTGACTTCCTGCTGCCTGCAAGATGTAACATTCTTCAGCTAGGCCTCCAGCACCACGTCTGCCTGCATGCTGCCATAGTGATAACAGAATGAACCTCTGAAACTAAGCCCCGCCTCAGTTGAATGTTTTCCTTTGTAAGAGTTGCTGTGGCCGGGCAGTGGTGGTGCACGCCTTTAATCCCAGCACTCGGGAGGCAGAGGCAGGCGGATCTCTGTGAGTTCGAGGTCAGCCTGGTCTACAAGAGCTAGTTCCAGGACAGACTCCAAAACTACAGAGAAACCCTGTCTCAAGAAAACAAAGCAAAACAAAAAAGCAATAACAACAACAAAAGAGTTGCCGTGGTCATGGTCTCTTCGCACCAATAATGTGCCATCCTAGGAAGCCTGGAGACAAGTACCCACTACCCACTCGCACCCCTCCCTCCCTCCGTCCCTCCCTCCCTCCCAAGGTTGGATGCCTCACTTCCACACAGATGGCTGTGCTGCTGATGCGGTAGCTCAGGATCTCGGAGCCCATGCCCGTGAGCATCAGCTCTGCCAGCCTCTGCATGTAGCTCTCCGCGTTCTGCATGCACAGCCTGAGGAGAAAAGGACAGCACAGGGAGGGCTATCGGCCCCGCTC